AATGTTAGCCGAGCTCGATGGTGAGAACTCAGAATGCTTCCTACATGGGGTCTCAGCGGGGACCCTGGCGTGTTCAACAGCAAAGGTCACGAAGAGTGGGACAGCATGGGTCAGGCTAACAAGGTCGTCTTATGTGACCCCGGCAGGAGAGATTTTTTAAAATACAGAGTGGGATGACAAAAGTACTTCTTCTGGAACTAAGGGCCAGAAGGAAAATCATCAGAATGTTATCAATTGCTATCATCGAATGAGAGGATTGGAGATTTTTTTCTTCTTTCTAGTTGGTACTTTTTTTCTTAATTTTCTTTATCTAAGGATAACAGTGAAAATTCTTTGAGCGAGCCTCCATCGGACTAAGCCACCAGATTAAACACTGGCGTCTGGGAGGTCCTCTCTGGGACGCCCACACCCTCTGCTCCCTCCCACAAGTGAATCCTGCATTTGCCACAAGCGAATCCTGCATTTCCCACACACGCTTCTATGCCAGCTGCACTTGCTACTGTGGCCCGGCACTTCTTCTCATGTAAACCACGATTGTGAAAAGAAAGGCAGATGTGTCTGTGAAGACAACATCCCCAGGATTCGGAAAGACTCCCTACAGGTGGAGCACTAGGGGGAAAAATGGGTATAACTTTGACCAAAAAGATTGGCGATAAAAAAAATTCACAATTATCTCCTATTCTGCATTCAGATCTCTTTGTCCTTATTTAAGTTCTTGTTCCTCTTTAAAGAAGCTGGAGCGGGAACCAGCAGTTAGCGTAATGGCTATGTCGCTGGATTCCCACATAGTCGACCGCGGTTCGTGTCCCGGACCCGGTGGCTTAAAACTCACGCCGGGCGCATGTGCGTGCGTGCCCAAGATCCCGAGAGGAGAATGAAGGAGAAGGGATTGCGGCGTGACCATCCCCCTTGGGGGGTGATTTCTCACTTTCTGTCTCTATGTCTCTCTCTGTCTGTCTGGCGAGCGCACGCGCCCTACAGTGAAAATCTCTCCAAAAAAAAAAAAAATTGAACAGGCTGTTCTGACTGACTAAACCCTACCAGTCATGATCCCATCTCTTAAGAGAATCCCACAGTACTTCAGTAATTAGATATTACATTGAGTGGAGAGGCTCACTGTGGAGAGCCCTGACCACGTTCTAACTCGCCTGTCCTGGGACATGCCAAGTGGCTTCCCCTGCACCACCCTTAGCTCTGACTGCCGGCAGAGCCCTCATCTTCACCTGTGCATTTTTAAGCTACTTAAGTGTCCCATGAATTTTTTTAAATGAGTGAATGGGGCTAGCAGGTGGTACAGTGGTTAAGGTGCTGGACCCCCACATGGCCGACTACAGTTCGAGTCTCGAAACTGGCAGCTTGCTTTCTCACTCTCTCTCTCTCAAACTCTCTCTCTCTCGCTCGCTCTCTCTCGTGAGTGCACGTGTCCTACAGAAAATTTCAAAAAAATCATAATAACAGATAAAATTCAAAAGTGAGTGATTCCCTGGGCTTTTTGTCTCAGTGATCGTGGAAATTCTCAGTATGGGAAGGAATGCTTACCCCTCGGAAAAAAAAGTAGACTCCCCCTAATACAGACAGAATCTCTCCAGTGACTCGGAAATAGTCTCCAACGGTGTTTTCCAGCTTGAAAGGAGGCTGTAAGATGCAGAGAGGTTGGTAGCTCCACTCACTCATTCATTCATTCATCCATTCAACACACACTTACCAGGTGCTGAATCCTGTGATTGGTTAAGACCAGCCACTGCCTTGGGGGCACGGCCTCCATCACAAGAGAAAGACATGAGGCATTATGAGGGGGACACCTGCAGGGAGCCCCTTTGTGGGACTCAATTTCCCCACAGCAGCTCCAGGTCCGAGGGAGCAACCATATGGTGTCATGCTGTCTCCAGAGAATGCCCCTGTGGGAGCCCTTCTTGGCAGGAGCAGGTGCTGGGAGAGGGGGCATCATGGCACCAATGCCGCAGGACCCCTGCTGCCCCCACAGCCCATGGTGAGCACCAGGCCTCTCAGGAGCATCAGAGTTTCCCCTGGATGACAGACGGACAGACCGTCCCACAGACACCTGCAGGTCCAGTCCTTGAATTTCAGCCAGTTTTCTGGAGTGGGTTACCACCATGTCTCATAAGCTCTAGTTCATAAGTTTGTCTCGTTTTCTCTTTTCCCTTAACAGGAAATGATTAAATGGCTTTAATGGGTGAGTATCATTCAGGTTTTATGTAAGCGTGCAGTAGAGATTTTAAACCGCATTTACAAACAAGAAATAAAGGAAATAAAGGCAGCAAAACTAAACGCCTTGGACATTGAACAGGAAGGACTCCATTCAGAGACTTGATGGAGTCCATGGCTTCTGGTAGACCAGAAAGCCGGGTCTGAAGCCAGTTCGATAGATGGCTTAGGACCATGCACAGAAGTGCTCAGAAATGTAAACCCAAGGGACCAGCAGTTAGCGAAATGGCTATGTCGCTGGTCTCCCATGTAGTCTACCACGGTTCGAGTCCCG